GGCTCTGTGTAGTTAATGCTGCTCCATGTGAAAGCCCACACGTGATGGAGATTTACCGCTGATTACAGAATGGCTTTACTGACAAGATGCGCGTTAAATATCGCATGCGATTTATCGTGCAGCCCTAGATATGACAATAGTTTTTTTTTTTCAAATGAAAACAACTATGTTGCATCAGCAGCAGTCACTGTCATTATTTATGTGGTGATTGGCTGTGATTGTGTTGCATCTTGCAGCATTTGTCTTTCAACGAGGACAGAAAAAGGACTGGTCACTGGGAACTTGTTGCATCATGTCTGTGTAGGATATATGGTGAAACAGATATTTTATGATTCTTGGTGTTGTTCAGCAATGCAGAGCTCATTTCTTGATTTCATCAAACACTGTAATGCATTTGCATGTTCATTTGATGCATATTGAATTATTTGACTAAGCGTAGTTGTTAATCCTCCTGCTTTATTCTCTCTTTCTCTATGATTGGTTCATGCAGATGCAGATCAATATTCTACACTTAGACTTGATTAACTCTCATGTGCTCTTATCATTCACACACAGGCTTTGTTTCAAATCCCACAGAGCTGCCTATCTAGTCAACATCTTAGTCAGACTACTGACGTAAGAACTGTTAGCAGGAAAATGATGCTTCCTCATTTTTTGTTTAAAGTTAAGGGAGAATTGCACATATCCTGCATTGATATGGCAAGCCCAGAATATATTGTACAGTAGCAGAATCATGGTAAAAAACAAACAACAAAAAACAAGAGTAATGCTGACTATAAATATACTTCTAGGTCCATTTCATTCAATATTTTTTAATGTTTTACAATAGTTATTATATATTTAATGTTTATAAATAATATTTGATATTTATTTAACAATGACAGTACATTTTATTGCTGCTATTATAAATATTGAATAAATCAAATAATTAAAAATGTTTTTGAGTGAATCATTTACCAAATTTGACAAGTTATCATGGTTTAAAAAAGAAAAGAGGAAAATATATCAGAAGTAATGTCGACTATAAATATACTGGTAGGTTTTATAGTTGTTTTAATATGTACTGTATAATATGTAATGTTTGTAAATAATATTTACTATTTAGTTATTCAATACTTTTTATAGCTACTGTTACAAATATTGAATAATGCATATAATTTAAATTACATTTTTTATTTAATTACATATTTTATGCTAAATTCTAAAGCAGCATCACATTTATCATGGTGAAAAAAACAGAAATAAATCAATAGTAATGTTGACTATAAATATACTTGTATGTCTATTAGATTCAATATTTGTAGTATTTATTTATTATTAATTCTATAACACAGGAATAAATTACATTTTAATATATATTCACATAGAAAACAGTTATTTGAAATTATGATAATATTTCACAATTTTTACTGTATTTTTGATCAAATAAATATAGCTTTAGTGAGCCGAAGAAACTTCTTACAACATTTTTTTAAAAAGGCACCAACAAACCCAAACTTTTGAACTGTAGTGTACATCTTGTAACATGTAATTTCTCTTACTTTTTCCATATGATAACACATTATGTCGACAGTGTTAGAAAATAATCAGCTGAAGGTATCTTAGCGCTTCTTGTACTGAAAGCACCTCAGCTATCTTAAACTGGAGTCTGTAGGAGTTGACTGGATTCTGGAGCAGAGCCTCTGTTATTCACCTCTGTCTTTTTACCCACACGTTTCTGTCTGTACTCACATGCTGTAAAGACGACAAGCTGCTTTTTTCCGCCCTTTGATGTAATGGAGGGTTTTTTCCTTGTAATGAGAGTGTGTGTGTGTGTGTGTGTTCATGATGAGTCTCGAGTTACTCGAGGAATCGTTTCAGCCCTAATTACAATATTTATTTTTAATATTTTAAAATAAAAATAATATTACAAATATTTTTTGCATTTTAAGCAAACTTTTTGCACTTCTATTACAATTTTATATATGTATATATAAAATATTTAATATAAAATATTTTTATTTTTTTGCTAATATTACAAATATTTTAAATAAATAAATTTAATATTTCGTTTTATTTAATGTGAACAGTCCTTTCCTATTACATTGCATTTAATCATTCAATATTTGTTATAGTTATTTAATACACACACACACACACACACACACACACACACACACACACACACACACACGTGCATTAGCAACAGGAACTTAACACAATCCTGTAAAGCACACACAGTCAGCCTGTGGTCGGCTCAATAACTCTGATCGATCAATTAGACAGCAGGCGGAGCGGATGGAGATATTCTGTAGTCCCGGATAAAGAGATGTCAATCACAGATGCCTTCGAGTGTACATGTTACGTAATTTGACCGTGAAACACACACTTGGTGAAGAAATCATACTGACTTTTATTAACCCTTGGTGTTGTTTGTGTCGTGGTCAAAAATGACAGATTTTTTTTCAATGAAATTAATGTACTGTATTTTAGTTTGATAATGTTTCTTTATTTAATCATTTTGATTTTTAGGGGATTTTATGGTACTAAATTATATTTATGGAACAGTGATGATCCGTTTATTACACTTTTTAAGCATAGACCTGAAAATGAAATTTCTTTAGAAACTGTGGTGAATCTTGAATGCTTTGGAGCACAGACTGAAGTTTGGTCTCTTTTTAAAGAAAACACTTGCGCATCCCTTACGAAAATTAACCATGGCTTTATTGTAGTAAAAGTGTAGTAACCATTGTTTTTTTGACTTCTTGACTAGTATTTGAATTACCACAGTTTTTCAGCATGGTTAAACTATGGTTGTATTAATATGTAGTATTACCATGGTTAATATTCGTAAGGAATTATGGTTGAAATTAAAAAAAAGTTTAAAAGGTGAAACTAAAAATAGTTATAGAAGTTTACGTTTATTATTACGAAAAAAGGTTAAAAAATAGAAAAATGTAAAATTTTATATGAACTATATATTTTTCTAAACATTTTACTCTAAAACTTCAAGAAAATGAAAGCCATAAATCTGAACAAGTTGTGTTCCAAATTTGAGGTTGATATCTCAAAAAATTTGATTTCAGGAATAAATATACATTGCATTTACATTACACTTTAATACATATTCACATAGAAAACAGATATTTAAAATGTTAACAATATTTAATTTTTACTGTATTTTGCTAAATAAATGCAGCCTTATAGAAATTATAGAAGTGTACGTTTATTATTATGAAAAAAATTTATTTTTTAAATTTTATATGAAACATACATTTTCCAAAACATGTTTTACTCTTAAAACTGCAAGAAAAATGAAAGGCATAAAACAAGTTGTGTAAACAAGTTGTGTTCTAAATTGGAGGTTAATATCACAAAAAATGAGCGTTCAGCCAGATTTAGTTTGAGCGCAGTACCAAACGTTTCCTCTAGATGAACGTTGTTTCCCATTCGTTTACAATGCAGTTATTTTTGACTTGATTGTGAACAATACAAATGTGACAATTTTTTTTCAGGACCATTTAACCTTCTTGAATCATGTCCACGATTTATTTATTTATTTTGTGTGTGTGTGTGTGTGTGTGTGTGTGTGTGTGCACATAACAAGTGCCAAAACCTTTACCAAGTTTCGTACCATTCCGATGAAGTAAAACATTTTTTAAAAAGGAAAATTTTTTAGTCAGAAATGACCGTACCAGAGGGTTCAGACATTGTTTTTAGAAATAGTGTAGATTACAGAAAGAAGGAATGAAAGAGAGAAGGATGCAGCACATGTGCTGTGGGTGATTTAGCGCAGTCGTTTGCTCGTGTGTTGGACAGATAGAGAGATGAGCAGAATGAACTC